CTCCGTCACGAGCGGCAGCCCTGCTGACTCAGCCCGCAGCGCTTTCCAAGCAGAGGCATTTTCCCGGTACCCGCGAGGAGGGGAGCCCCGAACCGAAGTGGCGTCGCTGGCGATAAACGGCTCCAGAGGAACCAGCCCACAGCGACACGGAAACCGTGCGTTTGGGGGAAAGCAGCGCGGTGATCAACGCGCAGAATTAACGCAGTTTGGATGTCGACGCTCGTCTGTCAGTTGCAGCCACCTGAAAGGAGCGCGGCGGTGAAGCACCCAGCCGAGGTTGTGATAAACAGGCGGCGGGCTTCGCAAACACCTCGCGACGCGCCCACGCCGTTGCTGCGCTTCCTTCGGCTCCATCCACCGCGGAGATAACGCCTTTTTGGGCGACCGCAGGGGATCCTGGAGCCTCCAAGAGCAGGGAAAGGAGGAGACCGAATGGCCTGGGGTTTCTCTGCGGATTTGCTCCAAGGAGGGAGAAGAGACCTGGGAAGGTGTCGTGGTTTAGGGCTGGGCCGGCCACTAAATGTCAGCACATCGGGTCTGGACAGCAGCGCTCAAAGCACGCAGTAAAACCCAGCCTGTGCTCCTAAGGCGCATTTGAAGCATGGAGAAATATGGATATTGGTATCCACTCGCATAAAAAGCTGATGGAGGAAGTCCCTGAGACTTTTCCGTGATCAAGCAGCTCTTATTCCCTCTCCCACTCCTTCCCCATGGCCGCTGACTCCATCCTTTTTCCACTCTTCAAAACCAGCAGACAAGCAGAATTCTAGAAAGATCTCTGCTGTGCATTCCTGTCATCTCCACGGCCCTGCGGTCAGGATGTGCCCGTGCCCACGCACCGAGAGCCAGAGCCCTTTCCATCACCCGCAGGACCAAACCGAGCAGACCCCAGAGCGGTGTGGGGATGGTATCACAGCTCAGACGCAGCAAAGGAATGCGGCGATGCTCACCTGGTAACTGTTTTTACTCTGAAACGCGACGCGTGTTGTTCTCCCTTCACGGCTACAGTGAGGTGCGAACGAACCGCTTTGAGAAAGGACACGGCCCGTTCTGTCACCACCACTTCTGGTACCGCCTGATGGTGCTAAAAGCTTCAGGGGAAAAAAAAAAAAGGTGAGGTGGGTGGAATTAACACTCACAGGAAGTCTTCCCCAAACGCCGGCGATGGGGATCAGCAAAAGCACAGGTACATCCAAAACGAAGCGCGTCACCAGTGGCGTTTTCGGACAACCGGCCGCGCAACCCGAGGTGATCCCAACTGTGATCCCATCCTGCTCCTCACCATCGTCTGCGGGGACGGAGCCGCTGCTGCCGCCCTGCACCCCCGCCCGGCTCTTTCGGCTGCTCCTCGCCGCTCTGCCCAACCCCTGCACTCGTTTCCCCCTTCTCAGTGCATATTTTAGCACCAACGCTGTCAGCACCTCTTGGCGCCCGCGCTCGCCTCCCTGCTGAATTGTTCCCCTCCTCTCGCACGCGCAGGGTTGAGCCAAAAATCACCTATTGTGGGGAGCGCGTGTGCGCCGCTAAACCCGCGCCGCAGGAAAATACACTGCGGGTTCCAGCGAGCTGCGCACGGCCGTTAGATCTGCGGAGGGAAGGAGCGCTGCAGCCGCCTTGATGGCTGCGCTTGCTTAAAGAGCAGGGATAAAAGACGAGAACGGCTGCGAAGTGACACCAGCGGTGGATTTGCTCTAAACGTGTCGAGTTTCCGCGTGATGAAACGGCACTGGGGGGTTCTTGTAACCGGTTTGTAGCGTGGAAAACTGGAGTGGAACCGCAGGGCCGGCCCGTGGAGAGCCAGGCGTTAACGCGACTTAAAGCCTTCTCTGGATTTCAGAGGAACCCGAGTCACGCTCGCCACCACGGGCGGCTGCTGCCCCAGAGCACAATTTACAAGCTTTGCTAACTGGGAAAGCTTTGAGCTGCGTTCTCCCTGGCTTAGAGCTAATTTCTCGACAGCCCTTAACTGAAAGATGTTGCTAGAGCAGCTCTCTGTGCTATTTATCTGCCTGCCCAGGGATGCTCGAGCAGCTCGGCTAACTTCCCAGAACAGCAGCTTTCCAGAAACAGAGCAGCTGATCCCTCGCCGTCGTTCTGGGAGCTGACAGTGCATTGCGGGGCGATAAAAGGTCACTTATTGAAGGATTGCCTCGGGCTCGGCAGCTTGGGCTTTATCGCAGCATCACCCCAGGGACGCAGCGCCAGCACCGCTGCACGCAGGGGACGCAGGAGACCTTTACGTGGGAGGATCTGGGGAAGGGAGGCAGGATGAACATGTCACCCTGGGGAGATGCCAGCTCGGCCATCACCGCAAGGACACCACCAAAATCCAGCAGAAGCAGTGCCAGCAGACGGCTGCCTGCACCCCATGTGTTTAAATAATGCCCCATTAGGATCAACACTCATTTATTATTAACATCACCTCAGCACAGAATTCCTGAGCTGCATTTATCCCCAGGGATGTGCACAGCCCGGGTCTGAGGAAGGAGACCTGGACCAGTTCAGGGTCAATAACGCACCGGAGTTTGCTCCCCTGCCCCATCTGGAGCCTGACAGTGGGGGTAAGAGGAGGGCGCGCTGAGGAAACGTTCCCTTCCTGCACATTTCGTTGTCACAACGCCGCTATTCAACAGCACCCGCTGCCTCACCTGGCCCAGCTCTGCCCCGGGGTGAGCCGTGGCAGGTGAAAACGTCCCTGTTTGCAGGTTTGTCACCTCTAGTCCTGCACCGAGGGGCTGGCAGCAGCCGCATGCTCCGGGTCTGGGGTGGCACCGCTCACACTCGGTGTTGGTGAGCGCATTTCGGGAGGCAGCTCCGCCGCCTGCCCACCCGTCCCCTGTGCAGGGGCGCAGCCAAGGGGGACGCTGCGTCCGTTCATGCGGTTTCCATGCGTTTTGTGGAGACACCGTCGCTATTACACACGCTATCACCCTGGGTTTGTGCACGCTCAGGTCCTACAGCGCCCGCACCCCCGAACCGCCGACACGCATCAGTGAGTGACGAGCTTTTCCCATCACGAGCAGGGCTGTTTCCAGTCAGCCGATGGGTTTCGCTCTACTCTAATGAGCAGATGTGTCTTAAATCCATACCTGTACCCCATTTCTCGCAGAGTTTTTAACACCCCTTTTTATATCAGTAGCATCTGTCATAACGCGCAGCTTAATAATCTCTTTTAAACCCCAGAAATCTTGATTTCCATGAAGCACCCAAGATGAATTTTGATCAACGTGGGCCTGATCTCTCCTAAGAAAGGGTCTCCCCTCACCGCCCGCACACGTAAGGCGAAGCCGTTCAGAAATCTTTAGTTCCGCCACCGCAACAGGCGAGAAGTAAACGACAAAATTCATAACAAATGTGCCAACCCGTAGAAGATGTCTCGCAGCACAATGGGATAACGGATAATAAATTGCAGTACAGTGTTTTTCTGGAGGTATTCTGGCCAATTCCCATTCTTTGGCTAGGACAGCACGCCGCTGGCTTTGAATTACAGCGCTCGCCGCGTTACGCGCAGAAGTTATTGTGCAAGCCTTCAGTCAAACACCCGCAGGACTTTCATCCAAAGCGCTTGCTGATATGTAAAACGAGGAGGAAAAACATCGCCAGCGCAGCCAGGGAGAGCTTGGGCTCGCACACCTGCACGGCCCTGCCACGTCCAAACCCCCACACCGCGCACAGGATCCGCTCTCCTCTGTGGGCTGCGTTTACACACCGCTCCTTGAAGGCAATTCCCAATTCTGGAAGCCCCAGTGACTCGGATGAGCTGTGCCCAAGGACCAGCCCTGACGGAGCTGCACGCCAGGAACCCTTGCTGGGCCTGGGTTTCTGCTGCACATGGGGCAGATCCACGGGCACACCCACAGCATGCTGGGTTTGTTTCCCTGCTCTCAACACTCCCAAATTCCCATCAACGAGCCCAGAAAGTTTCCTTCATGCCTTTCCTCAAGTTTTTGTGCCGCGTTTGGGACGCCCAGCAGGCAGGACCAGACAGGTCCTGACCACCACCTGCACGCACGCTGCCTTTGGGGGCTTTGCTTTGCCTTTCTTCTCTTCTTTTCAAGGGTCCTCCCCCCTTTATTTTCCCGAGATCAGAGACAAGATCGTCCACCGGAGAACGACAGCCGCCACCAGCGAGGGCGACGCGCTCCCCCCAAAAAGCAGGGAGCATCTCCCAGCAGCGGCGCTGCGATCAAAGCCAGGCCTCCTTCCAGCTCCCGCTTCCGAGCCAGGATGAAAGCCACGACGTAACAAAAGCCTTTCGTCTCGATCCCGATCAGACACAATGATGAATGCGAGCCTAAAGGGCAACATATTTGTAAGTTTTAAGTCTCTTGCAGCACCAACTGTCCTGATTCATCCCCGCGATAAAGGCACTTCTGAGAGCTATTTTACCATATTTTGTATTTC